TGCATTGGCTCGTTTAGTTTACACTCGAAGTAGATTGGTCTCTCTAAGCGAGATCCCAATTTCGTCGGTCATCCGACGTGACGTCGAGAGTGACCGACTGAAAGGGAACATAAATGTTATCCATCCATCCATTTTCCAAACTGCTAGACCTCTGTATTTCAGCTGCATTCCAGCTTCTTGGGTTGTAGGTGGGATATAAATGTTTTGGAGATTGTTTTAATGCTATTACTCTTTCTTTAATAAAATTACGCTTTGTGTTCAGTACAATGTAGAACACTTTAGAGGATATTTCTTAACATAGGGTATGTGGATTTCGGCTTTTCACAAAGTGTAGATACATTATGACATACATTTTTAAATATATTAAAATTCAAAGCAAATTCAAAATGTGAGATTAAATGTCTTAACTCAAGCAATATATATTTTTGTGATGGAAAACTTGCCAATGTTTACAAGGTTTGTTGCATCAGTTATCTTAAAGATATTTCTGTCATGGCAGTGTTAATGTGTTTGGTCTTGGCAGAATAGATCTGCTATAGAGCAAGTACTGAGACTTGCTACTGCCAATACATCCACGGACATGCTGCTGTGAGCATACATGAAATAACCCCCGCATTTAACATACATGACATTACTCCGTAGCAGATCTATACAGGTGGAGCTGGGGAAGGTGGAGGGTTCCTGAATCGCGCTGCAACTGCTACAGCAAACAATAGCCAAGTATTTGAATGTTGAGCAGCAAGCTCATTGGCCGCTGATGTGAAAAGAAACCAATCAGCTGCGCTCTGTAGATAACAATGTGATTACTAGCAATCGAGTTAGATTGAGTTAGCTATCAGCTAAGTAGTGTTCCAAGATTGCAGTATAACTATCACTGTATCACTTCATTTGTCAACATGTAAAGAGGGATCCTGATTTAGCTTAATTTGAACTAATTTTCATTGTCAGGGCAAAAATAAATGTAAGTTTTTCTCTATCTCTGTCCAGGTCTTCTCGAGGAGGAACGTTTAGCTAGTGCTCATCAGGCAGAGGCCTTCACAAGACAGATCCAGCATCTGCAAGGTAACAAAGACTCTGAACACACAAACCCAAGATGATATTATAAGATTAATAATAAGATTTTCATTGCATTAGATGACAAAATACTGTAACAAAGCATATGCTATTTACTTGTGAGGAGTAAACCATTCTTTTAAAATACTGGGGAAGGAAGTGAACTTGCCACACTTGTCATACAAAAAGTCATACATTTTTTTTAATGATCTCCCGACCCCTGTAGCACAACTTCGTTCTGTTCAGGAGGAGATGGACAGTCTGGAGGAGGAGAAGGAGAGCGAGCTTCTGGAAGCGCAGGAGGAGCTGCGGGCGGCGCAGGAGGAGGTGCTGCTGCTGCAGCAGGCGTCGGAGGAGGCCGCGGCTGAAAGAGAGAACGACATCGCCAGTCTGCAGGAGGAGCTCTGCCGCTTACGGGCGGACATCTCTCAACTGGAGAACACGGGACAGGAGTACGAGCTGGAGATCATCACACTCCGAGCGGAAATAGAGATGAAGAGCCTGAGCCGTCTACAGCAGAGGAAGGAGGGTGAGAACAGAAACACAGTGCTAAAAGAGCTCTGAGATTGTCAGGGTACTGCAGTTATGAAGATAAGTCATTTTCAATGCAGCAATCAAAATTAAATGTTTAGTTTGACCTCCAAAATCTATAACAGTGTACAGCACATTCACAGCACAGTCATGAATCCAGTCCAAAAATAGGCTACGAATGAGCATTGCAGATTTCAGCTGAAAAAAAAGAAAAACATAAATTGCTTTTTCTCTCCTTTGTAGACATATTCAATATTCAAAATTATTTATTTACCCATTAAAAAACTATATAATTATCCACAGTGGAAAACTAGATATCCCACTTAACCAGTTTGGTCACTTTATTATTTTATTTATTTTAAGGTTCAATTCTCAGTAACTAACTATTAACTATGGGGTTTACCTCAATAAACTCCTAATTTGCTGCATGTTAATAGTTAGTAAGGTAGTTGTTTAGTTTAGGTTTGGGGTAGAGATTAAGGGATCTAAAATACGGTCATGCAGAGGCAAATTCTTTAAATATGAAAATGTACTTACAGTCTGTGAATCAGAAGCACCAGACTGTCCTTGCAAAGCTGGAACTGCCCCACTTTATAGAAACAGACTTTTCTATAACAAGAAAACAACAGTCTTGTAGGCTACTCTCTCAGGAAACAGTCCTCATCCTCCATAAAATGTGCTGCACACATCTGAATATTTGGGTTGAACCGTTCTGGAACAGTGTTGTAAATACAACTTAATCACTGATTTCTAGTCGTGTCCTTGTTTGGAAGCCAAACAAAGTATTTTTGCTTTCACAACGAAACACATAGCGCCTACACAACATAGCGGCGGCGGCAGCAACAATAAAGTTACGCCTTCTTTCTTTGTGTATGCACCAAGAGCTTGTATCACTTCAAAGAGAAAGGAAAACTTGAAATCACATCATATGACCCCTTTAATATGTGCTTTATAAGTTTGAATTAACAGCCAATATGCTAGTAATATACAGGTGCATCTCAATAAATTAGAATGTCATGGAAAAGTCATTTCTTGTGAAGTTCACTCAAATTCTTGAATCGATTTTGCTTGACAATCCTCATAAGGCTGCGGTTCTTTCGGTTGGTTGTGCATCTTTTTCTTCCACACTTTTTCCTTCCACTCAACTTTCTGTTAACATGCTTGGATACAGCACTCTGTGAACAGCCAGCTTCTTTGGCAGTGAATGTTTGTGGCTTACCCTCCTTGTGAAGGGTGTCAATGATTGTCTTCTGGACAACTGTCAGATCAGCAGTCTTCCCCATGATTGTGTAGCCTAGTGAACCAAACTGAGAGACCATTTTGAAGGCTCAGGAAACCTTTGCAGGTGTTTCGAGTTGATTAGCTGATTGGCATGTCACCATATTCTAATTTGTTGAGATAGTGAATTGGTGGGTTTTGTTAAATGTGAGCCAAAATCATCACAATTAAAAGAACCAAAGACTTAAACTACTTCAGTCTGTGTGCACTGAATTTATTTAATAAACGAGTTTCACAATTTGAGTTGAATTACTGAAATAAATGAACTTTTCCACGACATTCTAATTTATTGAGATGCACCTGTACATGTTAATAAGCAAGTTAATAGTGAGAATTGGTCCTTAAAGTGTTACCATTATGTTTAAATAATATTATATTTAATTTTATATTTCATTATTAAAATAAATGATATCCTGCTCTCCTTTCAGCCAGCTGTTCTCGGCCGATTTATAAAACCTGACAGGTGAATAATAAATTATAATATATGTAGAATTCACACTGTCCATATTTTATTTTTATAGAAACCTGGTTCCAAAAGCTAAAATAGAGGCTTAGTGAATATATTAAATATATTATTATTATTTTATATTATTTTCTAATATGAAATTCTGATAATCTCAAACTTTATTGATTCAGATTTGACAATCAATTCAATGAAAAGTGCTGTCAAATATGTTGATGTTTTTTTTTTTAGACTATGTCTGAAACATCCACTAATGTCCATGATGACATCATTTTAAAATCAGTGCATGATGGACTCACTCAATTTGTAAAGCTGGTTAACGTCCTGCAGTGATGGCCATAAATCACACTAGTTTTAATAAACTATTAAGAGTGCAACCCTGAAGCATTTCGGAAACGTTTGCAGCACACAGTGGCCAGCGGGGAAGAGCTCCTGCAGAATAGCTGATGGTGCGGGTAATGCTATGCGAAGATGCAGTAAACTTTTGAGAGCGTGGATGACTGCATGCATCCCACTAGTTATAATGATTGTTAACATTTTTTTATTTTAGGATATGTACAATTTATTGTAGATTGCTTTGATCAGAAGTCTCTTGTACAAACATACACTTTAATATTGCTAATATTCGTGTTCATATTGCTTTCTATTTTCTTGCGTTACTTGATTAGGTGATGTGGGTCTGTTGATGGATGAATGTAACAGTCTGAAGGAACAATGCCATGCTCTGCAAGATGAAAACACAAGACTGAATCACAGACTGCAGATGCTGCAGAAGAGGAGGTGAGCAACTACACCTCTTGATACTTGATTGTCTTCAATTCTGGCATTTTATGACATTTGAAATTTGTAAAAAAAACAAATAAAACAACAAAACAAATATATAGAACGAATATATACATAGAACGAAAGCTTATTCATATTAAAAAAAAAAAAAAGCATAAACTATGTTAAACTATTTTACATTTTGGCCATTCTGCATATATTTTACAAATATGGCCATTCCAAAAATATAAAAATCCCATCATTCCAAAAATCAGTACAGATTTTAAAACACTAGTCATCATATATTTGCTGACTTTGCTACAGAGGAAAAACTGGGTGTCATACACTAAACAGCCGAGGATCAAACACTAGCATACATTTCAAGTCATTCAGCAAACAAACTCACACAGAAACATGCGCCTCGATGCATGACAAATGAAAATACTGTGTTCTTAAACTGAATCAAAATAATCAAAAAATTTTTGATATCCCCTGACTGGATGAAATTAGAGTCTGCGATTTTCTGTGAAATCTGTCCACTCTGACTTGGAATTGCAGACTAGCTCTGAATTTCAGCAACTAATGTTGACTCGCTCTGACTGAAAACTGGGGCAAAAATCTGTGCAAAAGTCATGTAGTGTGTTCCAGCCTTAATGATTTTTGATTTACTCACTTATACATCATAGCTTGGCAAAACCAATGAATTTCACATTCCAGTAAGCATTTTGTTGGACAAAAATTTCTATAAAACCTAATAATCTCATCTTATTAAATTTGTTTTTCCACAAGAAGAAGACTGAATATTTAAATATCTATATCTGCTAAAAAAAATGTCTACTTTAGTAGCACAATAGCATGTAATCAACCTCAAAGCTAAAAGATCTGAACTGAAAGCCAGAAAATGTAGAACTTGGATTTCATAGGGTTATTTTCATGTTTCACTCCTGAATTTTTGCATCTTATTTTGGCTGTGATGTTACAGTTCAGGCAGTTCCTGCATCACTCTTAAAGAAGAACAGGACGAGACAGAAGAGGCAAAACACACGCAGTGCGGCACAGAGACAGAAACGGGAAGCTCTTATATGAGCTCCAACTGCAGGCTGGTGGACGCTGGGATCCAGAAGAACATATCGTTTGATGGCAAACCTGTGACCCCCACCGGCTGGACAGGAGGTTTCTCAGAGATCCTCTCACTGAGAGATCAGCTCAAGCAAACAGAAGAGAAGGCCACACATGAGCAGAGAGAGGTATACCGCCCTGACATCCATTATTCATAAATGAGAGCTTTCATAAGAAAATGTTCTCTAAATTTTGCTTATTTATGTTTGCTAGTGTGATGGACTGAAGAATGAACTACAAAATCTGCAGGAAATGTATGAGACCAGTCAGAAGGAGCGAGCCGAGCTGGAGCTGGAGTTACTGCGCTGCAGGGAAGAGCTGGAGAGAGCTGCTGAAGTCAAAGAGGTACACTGATCAGATAAAAATATTTTTAATGTTGTTTTTCTTAAAAGAAGTCTCTTCTGCTCATCAACGGCACACTGCATTTATTTGATCAAAAATGCAAAAAGAAAACACCAATATTGTGAAATATTACAATTAATTTTTTTTTTTTACAATTTCTATTTTAATATCCTTTAAAATATAATTTATTCCTGTGATGCGCAGCTGAATTTTCAGCATCATTACTCCAGTCTTCAGTGTCACATGATCTTCAGAAATCATTCTAATATGCTGATTTATTATCAGTGCTGGAAACTGTTGTGCTGCTTCATATTTTTTGGAACCCTGTGATACTTTTTTTCAGGATTCTAAAACGATAAAAAGATAAAATGAACAGCTTTTATTCAAACTAGAAATAGTTTGTAACCATATGAATCTTTACTGTCACTTTTTTATTAATTTAACACATCCTTGCTGAATAAAATTATTAATTTATAAAAAAAAAAAAAAGAAAAAAAAAAGAAAAAAAGAAATGTATTGACCCCAAATGTGTGAATTGTTTGAAGTGTATATTGTTACAAAATAATTATATTTTGAATAAATGCTGTTCTTTTTATTCATCAAAGAATCCTAAAAAAAGTATCACAGGCTACAAAAATGTTTTTAAGCAGCACAAAACTGTTTCTAACATTGATAACATAATGATTTCTGAAGATCATGTGACACTGAAGACTGGAGTAATGATGCTGAAAATTCAGCTTTATATCACAAGAATAAATTACATTTTAACATATATTCACATAGAAAACAGCTATTTTAAGTTGTACTAATATTAAACAATATGACTGTTTTTACTGTACTTTTGATCAAATTAATGCAGCCTTGGTGAACATAAGAAACTTCTTTAAAAAACAAAAAAAATCTTACTGATCCCAAACTTTTCAATGCAGTGTACATTTTGTGACATAAATTTTAATTCTACATGGATATACAAATAAATAATCATTTTGTTTTATATTTTGTATATATGTATTAAATGTCTGAATATAATATCTAAATTTATAGTTTTTTATTATGTAAATATAAATGTACAATCTGGGATATTATTGCTAGACATTTTATTTATTTATTTAATTTCTGTATTGAATTACATATTAATTTAAACAGAACACATGCTTTATGCAGTAAATTTAGTTCAACACTTTTGTATAAAAAGAGGGTCAGCAGTCCAAATCAAAGAGAGTCATTCCTCTGCTTTACAGACATGGGGCAGGTCAGCGAGTGAAATCATTAGCAATGTATCAGCAAGTGATGATTTCAATGAAACACTAGCAGGTGCAGAAGACACGGCCCATCAGAGCATGTTCATTTAGACTTGATTGTGTCCCCAGCAAATGACAGTATAGCAGTAATACGATCGTTATTTCTAATCATCACTCATCAATAGGTTGATGACTTCACCTGTTTTCTCTGCTATTCTGGATTTCATTTCACAGCGCTACACACCACAAGCATTAAACATAAAGCACAGCCTTTGCCCTTTGGCTTCCATATATAGTACGGCTCTTTTTGCTGTAACGACAGCAGCGCTCGTTCTGGCATAGACAAAACCTGATGATCATATCACAGCATGATTTGAGAATGTTACTAAGAGCATCTTACATTTTTCAATGGAAGAAACAAACCTTCTATCGAATCTATTAATCTATCCATCAACAAATTCTCTAATAAATATATTTGAATACAGCGCACCGTTCATTCAGTCATGACTTTTGGTCTCATTCTCCATGCCATTTCTTCCCAAGATCATGCCGTCAGCACCTTCTCTTTCTTGTTTACTTTCTAGGAATGATGCTAATAAAAACCATTGATTTGTTTCTGGCGATCTGAAATATATTGTGGAGAGCAAAGCAAAGGTACCGTTAAACGTAGTAATTCAAACATTGTAATTCATGTTTTGGTCTTTATGATGTTCTTTATTGTTATCTTTTGTAAAAACAAATCATACTTTTTATGCTTTCTAATGACTTGACTAAATTGTAAAATGTCATATTGTTATTTATTTATTTTTGGACCATACATAATATTGACTGTCGTAAATACTCTATTATAACTAGTCAGACTGATTGGCTTTTTCTTAGCAGTGTGCTCACCTGATGAAACTACGATCAACACTCATCACAGCCTCTACAGTAACATCTGGAGTTTAATGGTGTTTTTTGTGTGTCCTTTTGTCTTTTTGCAATAATAACTACCTTCTTAGACAAAAAAGGTTCTACTTATATTTTTCCTATAATATTTCACATGTGCTTCATATTAGTTTAGCAAATGTTTTTGATTTATTCACCATTTAGCTACTCTTGTGCTGTAGGCTTGTTGTAAATATCTTTAATATTATGATAAGTTTATATTGACGATCTCTTCTTAATATATGAGATGAATTATAAAAAATATATTAATTGCAACAGACCAAAAAGTTGCTGTAAAGGAGGTTCGAATTGAAAAGAGAATCTGAAGTTTGTGAATTAAAGAAATGCTTAAATATTTAAAATAGGCCTAGTTATTTACCTTATAACTTATTTTGCGAATTTACACAATGCTATTGGTTTGCAATAACTGCTATAATCTATCCTTTTTGTACATTTTTATGCATGTTTCAGCATGAGGCAACACTATATTGTCATATAGATGACTATATATAGATTTATACACTGATGAGAAGAATCAACAATTCAATATGTCCACACAGTTCTGGGGGGAAAAAAGTATGAACTGAACATAATTTTGTCAACATTTAGTCTGAAGGTCACTTATGTAAAAAGTAAGTGTAACCTCATAGTTCACATATTTAGTTCAACCACCTACAGAAACCAGTTCAGTCTATCTGTATAGAGAGGATTTTCCTGAAGCTGGTCATTTACTCGCGTGCTTTGGATGATTGTCACATGACCCAAATTCAGTTGTGTTCTGTTCTACGGATGTCCAATCCAAAAGGGTCATTATAACTGTGAAATAATGATTATAAATAATTATGTAACCTATTCTAGTCACTTAAACATTTTTTTTTCTAAAGTCATCTGAAATCTCTTTTCATCATGTTGCAACAGAATGACATTATTTTGAGCAGGTGATCAAAATTATATCAAAATATGACCTGAACTCTTTGGAACGGTTTATCAACGGCTTTTTAACAAGAAAGTTCACATATTTTTACTTTTCTATCAATGACCTTGATTGTTGAAACCCTTTATTGTACAAAGATTTGCTTAAACAATTTTAGAATTTTTAAGAATTGTGTGTAAAAACTAAAAATGTAAGACTTCTATTTGTTATGTTTTATGACTGAGCTGATAATCAGATGACATATGTGATCTCTTACAGACCATTAACATCTCTTAGTCAACAAACGATTAGCTGAGATGATCGAAGTCTAGCAACAAATGGAATTCTTCTTATTATTATTTCTATTCTGTTGTGACAGTGGTACCAAAAACTGTTGTATTTAAATATGTGAAATTTCTAAAATGATTGTATATTTTGAACAGTAATATAGATCAACCATGGAGTTTAATGGTGTTTAATGTACTGAATTAGCAATTAACTGAATTCCACTGTATCCCTACATTTGATAAAGACAAACCGAGTTCCAACTTTCCAAAACATTTGTGGATGTTTCTTTAAATATGGGCACTTTTTGCCCACACACACACGCACGCACACGCACACACACACACTATCTTTTGTAAAAACAAATCATACTTTTTATGCTTTCTAATGACTTGACTAAATTGTAAAATGTCATATTGTTATTTATTTATTTTTGGACCATACATAATATTGACTGTCGTAAATACTCTATTATAACTAGTCAGACTGATTGGCTTTTTCTTAGCAGTGTTCTCACCTGATGAAACTACGATCAACACTCATCACAGCCTCTACAGTAACATCTGGAGTTTAATGGTGTTTTTTGTGTGTCCTTTTGTCTTTTTGCAATAATAACTACCTTCTTAGACAAAAAAGGTTCTACTTATATTTTTCCTATAATATTTCACATGTGCTTCATATTAGTTTAGCAAATGTTTTTGATTTATTCACCATTTAGCTACTCTTGTGCTGTAGGCTTGTTGTAAATATCTTTAATATTATGATAAGTTTATATTGACGATCTCTTCTTAATATATGAGATGAATTATAAAAAATATATTAATTGCAACAGACCAAAAAGTTGCTGTAAAGGAGGTTCGAATTGAAAAGAGAATCTGAAGTTTGTGAATTAAAGAAATGCTTAAATATTTAAAATAGGCCTAGTTATTTACCTTATAACTTATTTTGCGAATTTACACAATGCTATTGGTTTGCAATAACTGCTATAATCTATCCTTTTTGTACATTTTTATGCATGTTTCAGCATGAGGCAACACTATATTGTCATATAGATGACTATATATAGATTTATACACTGATGAGAAGAATCAACAATTCAATATGTCCACACAGTTCTGGGGGGAAAAAAGTATGAACTGAACATAATTTTGTCAACATTTAGTCTGAAGGTCACTTATGTAAAAAGTAAGTGTAACCTCATAGTTCACATATTTAGTTCAACCACCTACAGAAACCAGTTCAGTCTATCTGTATAGAGAGGATTTTCCTGAAGCTGGTCATTTACTCGCGTGCTTTGGATGATTGTCACATGACCCAAATTCAGTTGTGTTCTGTTCTACGGATGTCCAATCCAAAAGGGTCATTATAACTGTGAAATAATGATTATAAATAATTATGTAACCTATTCTAGTCACTTAAACATTTTTTTTTCTAAAGTCATCTGAAATCTCTTTTCATCATGTTGCAACAGAATGACATTATTTTGAGCAGGTGATCAAAATTATATCAAAATATGACCTGAACTCTTTGGAACGGTTTATCAACGGCTTTTTAACAAGAAAGTTCACATATTTTTACTTTTCTATCAATGACCTTGATTGTTGAAACCCTTTATTGTACAAAGATTTGCTTAAACAATTTTAGAATTTTTAAGAATTGTGTGTAAAAACTAAAAATGTAAGACTTCTATTTGTTATGTTTTATGACTGAGCTGATAATCAGATGACATATGTGATCTCTTACAGACCTCTTAGTCATCTTAGTCAACAAACGATTAGCTGAGATGATCGAAGTCTAGCAACAAATGGAATTCTTCTTTCTATTCTG